AATCTGCGGGGAGCTGTGCAAAAAACGCATCTTCGCACGGGCAGCCCGTGCGTTGGCCAATTATTTTTTATACAAAACAAAATGGTACTGTAAAAGTCAGGATGACGTCCATTCAGCAACGAAAGCTAAAAATGATTATACGTTAAGCTAAAAACCACAGCATAAAATTCTCTAGTCCTCTAAGCTCCACTCTTGAAAGTTCGGTTCAAACTCGAACTGCATCTTCAGAATAAAAAATTTGCAGCGCCGAAATTTCAGTCGCTCAATCTGTTATCGGGAAAACAAATTACCAGTCCCGCTTGCCTCATAAGCCATGATTTTTGGAGCAAATTCTACTTTTTCCAACTTAAGAAAAGAGTATAGTATGAATGAGAAATCCTAATTGCTGACTACCGAATAGGATCTGAGGTCTACGTAAAACAGTATAACTGTGTACCATAACATCAGAAAAGCGAGCTTTACCCATGATTACTAGGCGCCCTGACTCTGATCTAGGGCTTCTCCCGATTAGTACAAAAAAAAAGCTGGCAATTTCAAATTTATGAAAAAAATTTGATTAGACCTAGTAAATTTTGTTTTGCTTACAGTGCCGAGGTTCTGCCGCTAGATATGTTTGCGATGGGCGTAGTACTTTATCGTTGTCTTATCGGTCGCCTTCCTAAAAGGAAGCCAAACGGAACGGTATGCATTCGTCATCCGGTTTGATACTGCAATTTGGGCTCACATGGGTTTTCCGACGTGAGCTCGTTTGCTTGATTTCGCACACGAAGTGCAGGCTTGAAGGCTTGCTCTGACTGGCTGCAATTCAAGTGCTGTTCTTGAATTATGCAGAAAGTAACTTTTCCATTTGCTTTGGCCAATGCTGCCTCGCTCAGAGGCCAATTTTGCTGGCAATCTTAGTGCTCGGTTCGTTTTTGTATTAACCAGTTCTCGCGACAGAAGCGCTTTGATAAGATTTTAGTCGTTTCGAAGTGTCATTGATGTTTGCTGAGCATCACCTCTACTTCATTTCGAAAGCTGCTATTCCCAATGGGAAACAAAAGCGGCGATTAATTCCCAGGATGTTTATTGCCCACTAAATCTATTAATTGAATCTCGCCGTTGCGGTTTCCAGCCTTAATAAAATCAATGCTTGTTGCAGATCGATTATCACGGTGCGAAAACGTCATGTGTGGTGCCACCGGATCCGGAGATGTGGCGCACTGCACAACTCCTGATGTCGGAACGTTTAAATATGCGGCTGACAGCCGGCCAGCTCTTGCACACTGAATGGATCGAACAAGCAGCTACCGGCCCGATAACACAAATTTTCAATTGGAACTTGTAAAATTTTAGTTCAAAGACAACTGATTAAACACATTTATTGTATTTTCCCAGGTACAGAAAAAGTACATCAAATTTGATTTCCATGGATCCGCTAAGGCGAAATCCACCTTTTCAATCATACTTCTCTTCATCCCATTGCCATCTATGAAGCTAAAAAAAAGAGACGTATTCTTCCAAGTGGGCCGCTTTAGGCAGTTTCTCCATTAGCACATTTTCCCAATGTCAAATATTGTAATTAATTGCATTTCACAGATATGTGACATATGAAATGCATTCAAAACATTTGCATCATTCTAGATCCACCTCATAGGCGCACAATCGAAAGATGGTCATTTGGTCATCTCGCATCTCCCTTCCATTTAGTTACTCTCATTTCCATTCACTTATCACTCACTTTTGCCCAAAACTGAAATGATGCTGGTGTGAGTATGTTTGCTATCGTGTTAGAATTGATATAATGATCAGTCGAGTTCACGATATTCGAGAGATATCGCTCGCTATTTATTTTCTGTAATTTTTTAAAAAAACGAATTTTTTTCACTCAGCTTTGACAATTGTCAACTTAGGACTTCTGCTGAGAGGCTTCATCCGCCGTGGGCGACGAATCATTCTCCTCCGGTGTATCCGGTTTTTCCACACTGATTTCATCCAAATTTTGTTGTTCCGGCGGCGGTGGCGGTGGTTCTGCAAAACATCGACACTTTCTTGATTGGCTAAAGCGGCTGTAAAACCAAAATGGTGCCTATTGCCCAGACTACACAATGCGCAATCGTGCACCATTTCACTTCAGTATACGAATTTATAGGATTATTCGAATCGGGGATTTCAGATGCGGTGGAACTTTACATTCACTGAAGAAGAAATGCATATTAACCTCAATCGCTAGAACTAAATGAGTTATGCATTTAGCGATGCGTGCGTTTTCCACGTCTGCCCATGCAGCCTATAGTTCCTGCTTACTAGGCTTTCCATGCGGTTTCTGCTCGCCGGTAAGCTGGTCGAACTTAATGCGGTAAAGTGAATAAAAGTTGGAAAAAGCTGCGAACCGTAGAGCAGTTTGTTGTCCTCAAGGCATCGGTAGAGCGCATCCTGCAAATGCTTGTAAGCTGCCGTGTATTCGCCAAATCCTGCCTTGATACCGTTGCACAAATATGCGATTGCCACTCTGTTAGTAATATCCATTTTGACATTCTGGCCGCCCCTTCCCGGATGTCCAACAAGCCACTGATCCTATAAACAGCCTTTGGAGCCCATTAACATAACTGAAATTTTAATGAATGCAGTTTTTAGCTGGCCTCAAAGTTTTGTAGTGTTAAAAAAATTTGCCAGTAGCTCACAGTTGTTGGGAAATGTTGCAAAGGTGCAGCAACCAGCATGTATGTAGGGTACCATATGTTACGTAAATAGTTCCTCCAACTATTGGGCTGCAAGCTTGGGGAATGGATTGTATAATGGTTTTGTATCCAGATGTGAAAGACAAGTGGTTCGATTCGCTTCCGATACATTATCATTTCCAACTTCACCGGCACCCTCCTCCCCCCGCCCCTCCCACCTCACCAGCATTAAAAGTAAAGGCTACCAGTATCATTAACTCAGGCGCCAGAAAATCTTTGAAGCTAAAAAATTTTTTGAGAGACTAAAAATCCAGAGGTGAAATAAACCTGAGGATTTTTGGTATAGAAAAATCCTTTTCCTGTAGAAACAGGCACAGCCAAAAGCAGATCGAGCTGATTGACAGTCGCTGGCGTACTCAGCTTGATAAGAGTTGATTCTTTCACCAGTTTCCTTTCAACCATCAGTGAATGAAGCTTTGCTAATGCTCGCGCTGTAGCTACACCTGTTGCAGCAGGTATTTCGAGACCGCGAATTTCTGGATTGTTATAAGCTTGTACGTCCTGAAATGTTCCGCATCTGTATAGCTGTACGACAAACCTTTTGTGTTACTTGATCAGCATCAGCCGCATGGGAGTTTCATTAAAAAATCATTGGCGACGCGCACTTGGGGGCTCCGTGCGATCATGCGTTTTTGCAGTGTTTCGTGCCGTAATAAGATTAATCGAAATTCCGCTAGCTAGAAACCTCTTATACATACTGGTCCTTGAATCTTGGGAAATTAATAATCCACGCTATAGTTGGACAGGAAACATTCCCTTGAAATCCCAGGTTCCCAGCTTTCTCAGTCCCCGAGTTACCGAAATTGCAGCTGAAAAATTTCATGGGGCCGTGCGTAGCCACCACGCATGACGGGGGACTGAATTTGATAAATTCAAGTTGAAGACGAGTTGAGAACATTTCCTGGAAGTTTCAGATCCCCAGCTTCCCTGGTTCTGGAGTTATTCATTTCCCGCCAAAAAATTTCACGGGGCCGTACGTGGCAGCCACGCACATTAGAGGGCTGAATTTGATAAACTGAAGTTGTAGATAAGTTGAAACCATTTCCTGAAAGTTTCAGCCTCCTTGCTTCCCTGGTTCTGGAGTTATTCATTTTCTCGCCAGAAACCCTCACGGGGCCCTGCGTGATGGTCACGCACACTGGGGGACTGAATTTGATAAATTGAAGTTATAGATGAATTAGGACCATTTCCTTGAAGTTATAGATGAAAATTTCAGACTCTCAGCTTCCCTGGTTCTAGAATTATTCATTTTCCCGCCAAAAATTTTCACGGGGCCGTACGTGGCAGCCACGCACATTGGGGGCTGA